CTAAGTGGGTCTGCATCCAGGATCCAGATATAAGTAGGGCATCTGCATTTATTGGATTTTTAATGGTAGGAACAAACATACTCAAAAACCTCTTCCTTCAACTGCCACTGCATAGCAAAAAAGAGTGGCAAGTCCTTGACACCTGGAGAGAATCCAAGGAGGAGAAGAGGCAAGAATCAAAAGGAGAAGAAGGAATGGATTAAAATGCTTTGCTATTGTTCTACCTACCCTTACGTTTCTATATAGTATATCCTATAACTGTGCTGTAATAACTCCCTGGCTCAGCTTCATGCAGCAATATGAACTCAAAAGATTTTTTATATTGTTGTTTGTGTTGCTGTCTCCACATCAGAGACACTGATATATGACTGATTGTTGCTGCTCCAACCCTCTCGGTAGATATAAACTGGAGCCTCCTACTTTCTTTCTGTATTAACAGGCAGGAACCTTCATACCATCTTCATTGTTATCAGAACACAAAACCAAAAACGGAACAGAAAACACTGGTGCTGAAATTGTAATACACTTCTGCAGGCCTGATTCAGACATTAGGACCACAGAACACATGACCACCCTTCACTTAAGGGAATGATGACTGGCCTGGTTATGAAATTAGGTCGTCTATCCTCTAACAAACTTTGTTATGGTGTTTTCGGTGAAAGGGATTGGTATCTGCCAGTTTCATCACTTAGAAAATATTGTGTGTTAAGTCATGCTCAAATTTTATAGATCACATCTTTATGGATAATAAACAGATCAGCTAGATGACAGAGAATTATGCACTCATTCCGTCAGCCAGACATTTTCACAGGATTTAAATCAGAAGAGGTAGATTCAAAAGACTGGAAATTTACTGATGCATGTGCAATGCCTATGAGGGCTTCTGTTTCTCCTGAACCTCCATTTTGGATTATTCTAAACACTGGCAATAGCTACACAGCTGCTTCCTTTTGATAAAAGGTTGAAGAGTATTTAGCCAATTAAAAGCTATGCAAATGTCTCGCACATAACTTCCAGGAATTTGTTCTGCATGATGAATTTTTACTACTACAAAAAGTATTTATCAAATTATTTAGTTAAGTATTTCCTTAATGAAAACAAGTGCAAGGCTACAGAAATGTGCAACATTATCATAAAATGTGAAAGCAGGGAAGTCTTAAAAATTACAATATCAGTATTAGGACGACATAAATCTCTGTGCCCTGATATCTGCAGCTGCACATACACATCTCCTACAATCCCTTCTGAAGTCATCAGAGTTAGGGCTACATCATGCATTTTACAATCAAAATAGTTTAGCACACACCTTCTGGTTTTCAATTGGGCATTATTAAGGTACCACACAGATAAGTATCAACTCCAAAACAAGACTTAATAATAACCATCTTTCTAGACAGACTCCAGTGAAAAAAGTCTTTCATTCAACCCTCTGGAGGAGAACCAAAGTTTAAGGCTCCGCCAACTTGATTTTGAAATAGTCTGGACTAAAGGGATAGAAAGTGTTACTCAATCCTCTGGCACCCCTTTTATTTTTCTTTGGAATATTCATCAAATAACAGCCACTTAATCCATTTCAACTCCATTATTTTCTTTCAACACAAAAACACATCCTGTTGTTGCTACACATCCTCAAGCTGTTTCTTTTTAGCAAGGAGACAAAAGGGGCCAAGCATCCCCTAAATTAACTGCACCCTAGAGAAGACTTCCATACACCAGCTGAGACTCTGGACTCAGCATTGCTCCATCCTATCATGTCTCCCCATCACTCCCTTTCTACATCCTTAATCTTCTATGGTTACCTTAGCCTAAGCAGACAAGATCAATAAATACGAGGGGAGGGGATTGGGGGAGGTGGTAAGGAAGAGACAGATGTTGCACTTCTGAGACACAGTAACTCTTAAAATGTACTAGTTTTAATCCACATGATTCAGTCACATGTTTCTAGAGCATATTTATAAACTTCATGGTTTCTGCATCTGGATTTAACATCCAATCTTCTACTCACTCCTCCTTTTCCTCTTTAAAAAAAAAAAAATTAACCAATTCAAAAAGCTTCAGAACAAAGGACAGATGCAAATACATTAATATAAGTAAACCATAACAAGCTAAATGTAACAAGGCATAGAAGTCCTGTACAGCCATGCTCCTTACTGTTATAGAACAGTTCACTTTGAAGCAATGAAACCATATTTTAATTTGACAGTGCTTTGACTATAAAATCTTACAAAAGAAGAATGAGGGATGCTAGAAGACATCCAGTCTACCACAATACAAAAAGTGCTATTTTATGTATAATCATAATTTATATTCAAGGCTAACTAATATGTAGGCATAATTAGAAAAAAATTATTTTACAAATTATATATATCACAAATAATTATTACATTATTATTCTATTCACAACTATTACTGGAACTGTACCAAAAAAAAAACCTTCATGCCCTACCACTACACCCAAATTGAAGACTTCTGAAGTAGTATTAAAAAGAATGAAATGCTCTTTTCAGAATACCATATTCCTAATAGAAAAAAAAAAAAAAAAAAAAAAAAAAAAAAAAAAAAAAAAAAAAAAAAAAAAAAAAAAAAAAAAAAAAAAAAAAAAAAAAAAAAAAAAAAAAAAAAAAAAAAAAAAAAAAAAAAAAAAAAAAAAAAAAAAAAAAAAAAGCCAAACAGAAAATGTTGTAGCACAACAGCTAGACTGCAGCAAAAGCAAACCCCTGGTGTGGGTGGCAGGGAGGAAAGATAGCAATAACATTTCCAGAAAAACACAATTGCTAGTGAAAATGGAAAGTATGAACTTATACCCACTAGTTTATGCCTTTGACTGATCCTACAGTAGGGAATAAATAAAGGACAGGTATATTTCTGTGTGTAATTCACCAAAACTGACTATAAGCTAACTTTCTATATGCTTTAATGAATGACCTGTCAGTGCTTTCTAACATCTACAAAAAAACTGTGAAGGAGACTGATGATTAGTTTATAGTACCATCAATTAACTCACTTTCACCTAAAAAGTATCTACTGCAGTTATGTCTAAGTGATTTTGAACAGACTGAGTCCATACTACAAAAGTAGCCAACTGAAGGTACTCAGATCACAAACTTCTGCAAACTTTTCAAAATAAATGTCATCCATAGTGTATTTAACAGATAATGACAATATTGCAAGCAAGCAGATGTGTTTTCAACTCTTGCTTTTTGAACTATCACAGCTATCATCTTTGTAAGACATATTTGGTAAAAAGCATTACTCAAAACCTCACTTGTAGCTACAGTCAAGATTTGACTATTCTTTTTATAAAAACATTTCTATTTTCTCAAAACAGATGCTTTTGGCAATCCTTCCACCCTTCAACAGGTACACACTACTTAAGAAAGTTGCAGCTCCATTTCTATACAAATTTCTCCATCAAGCAGAGGTAAATCCAGTTCTATGTCACAGATGCAATCAACCAGAACAGACAAGTTTGCTTAGATAAAACATGCCACCGTAAATGATGATATATGATCTCCTCTTACAGCAATCCTGTCTGCTCACTAGAAGAAATCTAGGGCTGATTACATGCAGGGAACAATTTACATTCATGGGACAAAGCACATTACATCCTCTCCAGGTCCTGAAAATGTGCTTCTGCAGCAACAGAAGCCAGTCTTAAAAAACAGCGAAAGAGCTGGTCTACAAATAAGGTTTACTCCCACTTCAAAATATCACAAAAATTACAAAGCATAGGCAGCAGTACATTACAGAAAATAGAAATTACAGATATATTTTTTTAAAAAAAGGAGAATTTTCGAATTGTGTGTGAGAAAGGAGGCTAACGGCTCTGATTAGTGAGCCTTGTGTTTATACATCTTTCAACATTATACAAAGCACTGGGTGAATTTCAGACTGCCTCAGATGGCAAAAGACTGTTGAATGAAACTTGTTGACAATGTTGTTAAAATAGAAAACTAATATTTGATAGCAAAAAAATCACAGCCTTTTATAAATGTCAAATACAGGATTACAAAGCAATGCACAGAGATTCTGGACTTGAATTTCCGTGCATAATCCAACCATCTGTCGGCCAGTTGTGTAGCAAAATCAAGAGAATGTAGAAATCTCCAAAAGGACAGCCAAATTCTCATCCTTCGGCTACTGCATTTCCCTGCTTATGAACATGCCCGCGGTAATCGCGCTCTGCCTGCAGATTAGCCTAAGAAAGATGACACTCGCCACCGGCAAAAGAGAGATTGCAAAGGCAATCTTGCCAGATAGAGAAGATAAACAGGGCGCTCAGCTCCCGGTGAAGCAGGCTGCAGAGGCAGAAGCACACTTCCCCAAGCCGGTGCTGCCGCGCCGGGCATAGACTCTTCGCCAAGGGCGGCGGGTGCGCGGGTCCGGAGGCACTCAGCCCGGCCCGGGGGGGAGATGAGAGCAGGGCTGCTCCCTGGGGGTGAACGTGGGGTTGCACGGTGCAACCCGAAAGTTAAACCCGCTGGAGCGGGACTGCGGTCGTTCTCCCACTGTTGGGATGTCGGCCCGGCGCAGCCCGGAACAGGGCAGGGCTGCGAGTCCCGCAGCTCCCCGAACACCCTCTTTGCCCAGCATGAACCTCGCAGGAGAGGCCCCCCGGCCTCTCGGGAAAAATAAAACTCCGAGGGATGCGCCGAGGTGGGAAGTTCCTGGGCAGAGCCTCCTCGCAGCCGAGGGGAGCACGCCCGGCGACGGGGTGCCCGGCACCCGGGACACGGCGCTCCTCCACCCGCGCCCCTCGTCCCATCTCGGACTGCCAGGCACCGCACCGAGGCTCAGTCGCCCGCCCCGGGACACGGCTGGGAGCTGCCTCGTCCCCAGCCTGGACACCAGTTGCTGACCTGCGGTGAAGAAACGGCGAAAGGAGCCTGTGGGCGACAGCGGAGCCCCGGGGGGAGCCGGACCCTGGCCTGCGGGCGATGGGGTGCCAGCCCCATACGGGGCAGACCGGAGGTCAGCCCGCGCAGCCCTTCGTTTCTCACCTCCTTAAGTTCCTTGGCGACATCTTTCAGGTCCCCTAGGACTAATTCCAAATCCTCCACGATGATCTTGATCTGCTCCTTCACCTTGGCTTTGGAGGCTGCCGGCGGCCCCTCGGATGGCGAAGAGGAGGAGGATGCGGTCCCCTTGGACTGAGCGGACATCCTTCGGGGCAACCCGGCGCGGCCAGCAGGGCACGCAGGTCAGGCGAGCGCGGCGGTCGCCGGCCGCCCGGCCCCGTCCCTCCGGCTCCCGGAGCTGCCGCAGCCGCTGCCGCCGCCGCCGCCTGCCCGCCCGCGCATCCCGCGCCGGGGGCGCCGCGCCGCGCCGCGCTCCGCCGGGCGGCCGCGCTGTGCAGCTGCTGCCATGGGCTCCCGGAGCGGCGCGGGGGCCCGGCTGCAGCCCCGCCGAGCGCCGCGCCTGCGCCTCGCCCCGCCCGCGCCGCCGCCCGCGCCGCCACCGGCACCGGCCCCGGGCGGAGAGAGGGACCGGGGGAGGAGCGCCCACCGCCCGCGCTCCGGAGGGGCGGCGGAGGCAGGGCGGCTTCTGCGGAAGACAGACTCCCCACGTCCTCCGCGCCCGAAGGCCCGCGGGGGCGAGTGGGCTGCGTTGTGCCTCCCAGAGTGTGCATGGTGCTGTATCGCCCCTGGAGCATCCCCCCTTCCTCCCCTCTCCACATCGGTGGTCCTTGGGAGGCGGGACGGGTCGCACCAGCCCTGCTGGAGAAAAATACTTACCCGCCAAAACAGCCCCTCAAAAAGGAAACACTTTTTGTGGCTGGCTCATTGAACAATTCCTGTCGAAGGAGACAACAACAGTGCCTGTTTCTGGTGATAAAAGTCATAATTGGGAGGTGACACTCACATATCCCTGTACTGTAAAGTGACCGCTTTGGCTAGTCTGAAGTGTACATTGCTTGGTTTGAACTTTGCTGCTATAAGGAATTCTGCAAAAGCCATCGAATTGGTAAAAGGCATTTCTGCTTACCCCTGCATACTGTCTTGCAAAAATGCAGGGGTCGGTAGACCCTATTCTAGTCGGGAAGTAAAGGTTGTGTATCTCATCAAACAGAAAGAAAAATGCACATGAGGCAGAATATCTTTCATGAATATGCTATCAGGCTCTTTCTCTGAAGTACAGGTCAGTGCAGCTTTAGAACACTCACTTTCCCTGGCGCTATTCACAGGCTGATCTATGGGGCAAAATGAAGAGATTGCAAGATATCACTCACCTCTGGTGGTTTTTTCATCTAACTGCAAAAGAGGTAAAAGGAGTTGGTTTAGGTATTTCTACCTCCCACTAGCTATGAACAGCAAGAAGGCAGCATACAGCCAAGCCCTGCTTTGAGGATTGCCCTGCATGGCTGCAGCTGACTTTGATGTGGTAAGTGTTTCTGAGAGTTTTGGCAGTCTGAGATGTTTTAATCTACCTAAAGAAGGAATGGAAAAGCAACCTTGCCCAGAGTGTTGTGTCTCAATGTGGTAAAAATCTCACTTGGTGATGAACAGTTTGTCTCTGGGAAGACTGTGGGACTGGGATATGAATAGAGAGGGCCTGACAGCACCTGTTACTGTCTAGCATTAACTGTAATTATCTTTCCACATTTTGTCACTATAAAATCTGTGGTGTTTGACTGAATTAATTTGTTAGTGGGCATATAGTGCAATTTTTTTCCCCAGGTGTTTTAAAGACCTTTCAAACAATTTCAATGAAACTACGTTCAAGGAGAGCCCATGATTTTCCTCTCAATTTTCAAGTAAAATGGAAGATTTCTTTTTCATCTCACTAAAGTAAAAGTTCTTCCAACACTGGCTTTTAAAAGCATTCCTTTGGGTTATTTTTACTTAACTGTTTCTATATGAGCAACAACATCATATGATTTTTGAAGCTAGCTAAGTAATACAGTCAGAATTTCCAAACTGTAGTCACCACTAAATTAGGAAGAAAGCAACCCACAAGTTGTTGAATAAGTTTTAAATATGTTTGAATATTATTCCTCAAGGGCATTGTACAAACAGAAAAAATAAAACATTTATAGAAAGCTATCAGTGAAATCATCTGTGTAGAAACCTGTACATATGCAGTTTATAATTAGAGAAAAAAGCCTATTTTCTGGCAAAAGTTAAAGTTACTATTCAACAGTATACTGTAGGTAGCTACACATAATATGGCTTACATAGGTAAATGATGGTTTCTACCATATTACTGTAGAAAAAAATCAACACTGTCAAAAAATTGCTACCAGGTTTCCTACAGACCCAGTCCAACTGGGTATTCATTATTAAATATACCTCTCATACACAATTGCTTACATTTTATATACTGTCTGAGTATAAAGTGTTGCCATCTCTCACTCACTGCTAAATTTTTTTTTTTTTTTTTTTAACAAAGGAGAATTGGTTCCTGTTCTATCTCATCAGTTAGTTTTGTCAGGACAAAACTTTACCCATAATCCTGTGGTTATCCAATTTCCGTAATCCTGTGACCACCTTTAGAGACTTTGCAAACTTTTGAAGATAAATCTTGTTCACTTTACGAATCCCTCTACTTCTGAAGTGACATTCTTCTGAGAGCTCTGCAGAATCATATAGGGGCTGATATTTTTTATTCATTCAAGTATCTACTGCTTAGCCCTGAAAAAAACTGACAGCACTTTTAAGTCCTGAGTAAAGTTCATTCTCCTGCTAGTCTTTTAAGGAATTTCATGCCTTTAGAAAAACATTCTATACCTCACCAAACCCTATCTCAGCTAACTAATACGTGGTTTCCCATATCAAAGTTATCTACCAATTGTTTTATTTCTTTTTGCTGCTGCCACTTAATAAAGTGTTATTTATCAGTGTGCCATTGGTTTATTCCTCTTATAGTCCTTCTGTCTGTATCTCCACTAAAACCTGATTAGCTAATCAGGGGAAATAAAAGTAACTCCTTACTGGAAGTCTGATCTCTGTATGCCACGAAGGAGATGCAAGGGATGCACAGGAAGTCTTCCCAGAAATCTTGGGAGAAAAAGTTACTTTGAAAATAAAAGCTTGAGACTTTCAAAGTGTAGTTTCACTGATTTTCCACCAACATTTGAAATCCAGAAACATTTAATCGAGTAAAAAGAACCCAAACAAATACAATACACATGTTAAATGAATAGTTAGTGAAGTACAATGTCTCTCAACCATGCCAGGGTCAGTGGTGATCTCATTAAAATTCACAAGTTGAGTGAGGTTTGGTCTGATTAGTTACTGGGAAAGACATCTCTCAGAAAAATTGCTCAAGATGCTGCAAAGTTTTGTTTTGGTGATTCAGTAGATGGCACTTTTCCTTTTGGGAAAAAATCCTATATCTTAGCCAAGTGTTACAAATAGAAGGAACTGCACACACAGAACAGTGATTTTATCATGCTATTTTACTTATGGAGTCACAAAGAGAGTTGGAAACTATGCAGGAAATCATGAGTAATCATAAAATGTATATGAACCACAGAAATAATTTTTCATGAAAATCAGCCAGACGGGTAATATCAGATATGTAATTGCTTTCAAATTTAGTCACTTGTCTCCTATTTTAAAAAAAAAGCCCAAAGTAATACCGAAAGCCCCAGATGCTTGCCTGCTTGGGAGGGACTTTTTACTACCATAAAACTTTCATACTTTTTCTGGTATGGGAATAGAAACCAAATGGGCACTTTGCAAATTATATATGTAGACATACAACCCACTTTCCTCAAGTTTTTAGTATTTTAAACAGAATAATTAAACATAGTTTGCTGTTGCCTGTGGAAGATATCTTGTTTGAAAGTTGGGCTAGTTACCAAAGGCAAAAGTTGCACGAAGTCTTTTAGGTCAAACAGAACATTTTTAAACTGAATGTTCTGATTTATTTAAACATTATCAAACTTTCCAAACAAAATCAAAGAATATACAAAGCAAAAATATCCCCTAGCCAAACTACTAATTTGGTGAATGATATTTTCTATGGCTCTTTAAAATTTGTCCTTAAAGGAAATATTTGCAACAAAGTTAGGGAAGAACTGAAGCAATAAACCTACCTCTTTCTTTCCAGGTGAAATTGCAGAAGCAAGCTTAGAACAATTGAAACAGGCTTGCATACTGGACGCATACTAATTAAAATATTCATTAAAATCTTCAAAATTCATCATAAGTTAAAGTAAAACCATGGGTTAAGATGGAGTAAAATCACTAACTTGCATTCCAGGTCCCTGTTGTACGTAGGTTATTGTCTTTTGTATTTTCCGTCCTAAAAGAACAGTGGGCTAATCTCTTCAAAATACTTCCATATTTAACTGAATATCATGTTCTTTTTTTAATTCCTAAATAAATTTTAAACAGTTCTGATGATAAAGGCACACTACACTGGCTGCTTACAGCCCAAACTGTAGAGTTGCAGTTCATTTGGATAAAGGCTGAAATGTTTTTCAGTTAAAGGAAAAAAAAAAATTAAAACAAAACAAAACACTTTCTGTGGGTGGCATGATTAAATGCCTTTATGGTATTCCACTTCTTTAAAAACAACAAGTTTTTAAAAATAAGCACAAATTAAATTTTATACTTCTGAATTAAGCTGGCTCATGTCCAAACAATTGATAAAAAACATCATGGAAGTCAAGACTAAGGCGAAGTCATGCTTTGCACCAACTTCTTGACCTACTTCTCCACCCTTTTTGTTCTGATATTGATTTGAAATCATGCATGTATAGCATGAAACTAGTCATATCATGCTTTAAGTCAAATGCACAACCCTCACATATTTCTCTTTAAGGATGGTACAGGATTTATTATTTGTAGAGCAGAACTCTAAGCCTGGAGCCAAGCTTTTAAGAAACTGAACACATACCTTAAACTTTCTTATTCTCCTTTAGAAGTGAAAGTCGAACAGAGTTTTATAGAATCCAAACCTCTTTTTATTCCATGTTATTTGTAATGTGTATAAGGAGGATGACAATTAAAGGTTTTTTTAAATAAAACTTTTCCTATCTGGTAAATCCTGTGCCTCACCCCGCCCATGCAAAATAACAGTTATTTTGTCTTAAAGATATATATTTTAAAATTTCTCTATTAAATATGAATAAATTCTATCCCATGCATCACTTATGTTCAATTCCTTCAATCTGCTCAGGAGGAAGTGTTACATTTGTTAACACAGTTCAAAGAATAATCTTTATCATGTCTCCGAATTGGAATGCCAACACAGAAGATTTACTGCAGCTTCATGGGGAAA